TATCATGGCTATACCGAGAAGACATAGATTCGTTGGATGAAGCACAACATCCGAAAATATTTTTGTGTGCAATGAAAAATCAAATATTTGCTGGCAAATTCTCTTCTTTTTTGTAGTTTGAGGGAATTTCTTGCCTTTTTCTTTGTTTTTGTTGCCTTTTTTCCTGTGACTTCTTTTTTTTATTCTTGATGCCAATTCTTTAAGATAAAATTGGAATTTATGTGAAAGGGATGTTTAAAATTTTTTGCTAGATATTTAGAGCTTATGCTACAGCCCCTTGGATTTAATAATAGTGTGTGTATAGGGCCCAGCCTTTCAGCTGGATGTACTGCGATTTAACCCTTGGATTTAAATAGATTTCTTTAATTTCTCTTCTTAAATTAGATTCATCAGCGGAGACACATGAGAAAATACTGTCAATTGAGTGTAAACTGTGTCCAGTAACCAAGAGAGGTGGTCTAATTGGTTTGTTTCTGGCTAGGCCCCTGTTGTATCCAGTAAGCATGAGGCTGTATAAGGAGCCCAGTGATTCCGAACCTTGTTTTTCGTTTGTAGTTTGTCGATCATATCAAAACCAGTCAAACCTAAAAGTAGAAGCACAAACAATTGAGAACCCTCCTAAAACCCTTGTAGAGCCTTGTCAGAACCAATTAATATAACTAGGAATACCAATAACAAAACTAGACACCGATAATAATAATCAAATGAAGCTTTTTCATCGCAATTTTAATAATTTCATTAAGCTCGTACTTTGAACTTTCCAGCAATTCTCAAAAAAAATAGGTGGGTGAAATATAATGGCATTAAAAATCACCTTCTATTGACATTCTCCATTATCTTCTCGTCTTTTATAACAGCATTGTGAGATTCTACAGATGCGAAAAATTCAATGAAATTTAATTTCCATTCACTTCAATTTTTAAGACATTTCTCAGACACTAAAAGAATAAGTCTTTAAATTTCATTCATTGTGTTTCTTGTTTTTATTCTCAATGATTTTTATCAGTTCAATGAATTGTGTTGATATAAAAATAGCATTATTTGAAGCTAGACTATAAAATATTTTGTGATGAATGTTTGGATGTTTGTGACACTATTGACAAAAGGTATTCAATGATATTTGAGTTTGATGGATATTTTCTGGATTTGTTTCCAATTATTGATTCAATAGCTTTGTTTTTCATAAGAAAATTTGAATGACATAGTAATTTCATGTATCTGGACACAAGGGTGTATTTAGAAATTTTTCAAAGATGTGCTTTAAGTTCATACGTGATGCATAGTTAAACAATATTAAAATTAAATGCTTATAAATAAATAAACTCTAGCTGCTCAGACCTTATGATCTATCAGAGCTAATCATAGTCTAACGAAAGAGAGTTCAACAGACCTCCAACTTAAACCTGGGTTCTAAACCCTGCCCACGTGATTGATGAATCCTGCTTGATAAAATTTCAGCCTGTAGCCAACAAAGAAAGGTTGTGAGCTTCATTTTCAGTCCATAAGATTCGAAAAAGGACGTCTAAAAATCATCCCATGCTGAGTCTTGAACCTAGTCCCATGATCGCCGTGTCGGTATTACAACAATTAGACCATTCCACCGCTGAGCCACCGAGTCACTTCTTTTTCCATGAGATTTTCTCCCAAATATATCTTTAGGACATTTTATGATGAAATATTCTTGTTAAGAAAACAAATTTTAAATTTGCCATCATCTTGAAAGCAGGTCAAGTATAAGCAATACGAGAAAATCTTAAGAATTTAATTTTTTTTATCATCAAAATCATTCAATAACAAGAGTTCCATTTAAAATCACAAATAACTTCCTTAAACTTATTATTTTCTTTCCTCCCCCTAAACATTCATATCATCCTCGTCACACAACAAGAATACCAATTGAATATCCAACACAAACCTTCACACGTCAGTAACATATTTTTCAATGCTTTAACATAATTTTTTATTCACAATGATATTGCCTTTCCCATCTCTATGCTCTATTCAAAAATGAATAAAATAGAGACGAAGGAAAAGTTTTGTTTTCGGTCTCACGTAGAGAAATTGTAAACAGATTACAGCACACATGTCTCATTCTTCCCATGTTCCATGTATTTTTTAAGTTTCTAACTTTACTGTTTTCCATGCTTGTACATTCATTTTTTTTATTGTTGTATATTAGATTCATACATTGTACACAGTTTTTTGGCGCATTTTCATTAGGAAACAATTCGCTTATAGGTCCACTTTGGCTGGCTGTCTGGCTGGCTGTCTCAAAAACTCGGAACTTGATTTTCTTCTTCTTCTTGATTTTTGAATTCGACAGCTTCTAAACCCTCCCACCAAGATATGACTTGTATTCGACGATGAGAAGATGGGGAAGAATACAAGAGTCGGAATAATGAGGAATTATATGAGCTGTACCAGGAGCCTGACATAGTAAAGTTGCTGCGAATAAATCGATTGAGATGGGCTAGGCACATAAACAGACACCAGTGCTGAAAGTAATAACAGCTGAATTTTCGGATGGTAAAAGTTCTCGAGGAAGACCGAAAAGCTCATGAATTGGCTGTGTAAGCAACGATGCAAATGTTCTAGAAATTAGAAACTGGCAAGGATAAAGCCAGTTTTAGACGAACTCTAAATGCGGCAATGGACCCACGTGCACCTTAGACAAGGATGTATGTAAGTAAGTATCCGAGTGGATCAATGTATATGACTTCAATACGAATTTACTGATGTACGCGAGGAAAATGCGCTAAGTTCCTCCGTTCACATCTGTAGCTGCGGCTTCTATACTAGTTTTTCTTATATTATGGCGATTTTCTTGTGGACGGAGATGATGTGGATATAAAATTCATACAATCATGTTAAGTTTAATGCAAAAAAATTGATTTAATAAATTTAAAACATTAAAAAAAATCTAGTTTAAAAAAAATTAAGAATTTTTTATAATTCTGCAGTAATTTTCCAATCACAAAAATCCACCCTCAATCATCCATCCTGATTACCCCTTTCATTTCCTCCTTAATAGAAAAATATATTGCTATACAATGACAGTAAACACGTTCTAGTCTTACTCTCCATACTTTGTAAGTAATGCACATTAGATTAAAAATAGATTTAGATATCAGAATGTTGAGTTTATGAGAATCTTGCATTGCTCTTATGTTGCTGCTGAATAGCTTGTCAACACCTGCATGAGAAGAGATTCCTTTTCTAATTCTAGAAACAATGAAAATTAAATAACAAAAAATCTAGTTTCATAAAGTTTCTGTTGAGCTCTGGAGAGTACAATGAAAGCTGTTGAGCATTGGATAGGATTAAAGTTTTGTTATGGGAGAAAATTTACTGTTTTGATAGCTTTTTTGTGTATGGGAACATGACCAAGTAATCCGATTTGTTGTGTTTAATTAAAGAATAGAATTTTAAAAATTTGAGTCAATGTAAAGTCAAAAGATTTTTGTAGTAACTTTAAGAATCATAAATAGTCTCACTCCAGAAATTTATTGAACTTTATTATTTTATAAACTTTTACCCTAATATTTCAATCCTTCATCCCTTTTCTTTATCCAAACTATTTGTATTCCCAATTTTCTTCTTTGTAACCCAGAAAAATAAAACAATTTACACTTCATATTTTTATCCAGCATACAAAAATCCTCTAATGTGACATACATATCCATAACATAATTTTCCGTTCCTTGGGACTCGACTGAAAAAAAATATAATATTAAAAATCCTTTTTTCTGGATTTTTATTTCCTAATGTTTTCATTTTTACTTAACAATTTATACATTACATAGACATACAATAATATGAATGTATCAGCAAACAAAGGAATGGCCCGAGTGACACACTTGCAACAAAATGTTCAGATAATGTGGTGTAGTAAGGACTTTGTGGTTAAGTCACAGACAATATTTTAAAGCCCATAGGGCAAGTTTCTAGAGCTACTCGAGGCACCCTACGCTAGTATAAGATTAATTTTTTAATAAATTAGTATATCAAAATTCATTTTTGCCATAACGTGCCCTGAGTAAACCTTAAAAACTGGTCACTGTACAGATATTAATTACAATACATATTAGGGGCCACTCACAGAGGATCTCTGTCAAAGAGCACCTGTCTGAAGACATTCATGGCATAAAGACATGGCCTAAAGACTTATCCCGCTCGGAGGCAAACAAAAGGGTTTAAAAAAGAAATTTTGACAATTTTTTTCGGCTCTATGTCCTTAAATATTCCAAATATTTAACAGAATACGACAGAGGATACAAAAAGGAACAAGTATGAAAAGTATGGATGGGGAATTGTTCATAATTGAAGAGTCATCGGAAGTTTTAAGCAATGAATTTGCATCCACTGGTTCCAAAAGCTTTGAGATCCTCATTTAATGCACTGCGAAATTAAGTTAAGCAGTAAAGTGCCTTGCTGGTCGAATAGGTAAGGCGCTTGGCTCAAATTTGGGATGGTAACTCGAAGGTCGTCGGTTCGAATCCAGCCATTTCCAAATTTGTTCTTTTTCGGAAGTTTAGATACTTCGACTGCTTAATGAACGAGATCAAGCCATAATTGGACATTTTGGGCAACGTTGGATTAAGGAACGGATCAGGAACTTTAAGTGTAGCGGGAGAAAAAGGAACGAGAGCTACAAGATTACCCACGAATGGAATATTGTCAGAACGGACCTGAAATGTATCACGTCACGCCCACAGAAGATTGAAACGAGAGCCTGAATTTAATCGAAACCTAGATTTGAAGATTAGAAGCTTGATTCTACGTCACCCATAGTGATATGAAATATATCACTAATCAATGTAAAAAGTAAAACATTTATAAATACTAATTCTTTCGGACGGTAACGTCGACAAATAAATAATAATAAAATACTTAATAGAATTATTAATAATGACAATTTTATATCCAAATTTTTATTTGTTTCCTCATTCGTTGTTTTTATTATCGAATGTAAAGTAAGTGTCATGATTTTTATTCATGTCGTGACTTATAATGAACATTTTGGGCTATTTTTTTGATTAAATTGTTTTTTAATATTGGGTATCGTTGATCAAGTTATCAAGCAAAGGAACAAATTATTGGATGTAAGTTATTAAGTAAATTCCTAATTTTTTTTTTACAAAAACTGAATCCTTTTCGTCAGTGGCGGTGCTTCAATTGGTGTTTTGCACCTAACATAAGCAACAAGAACATCAATATCTAAAGGTCCATTAATCCTATTTCGAGCATCGTTCGTAAACATTGTAAAGTTATCTCCACCATTTGCTGTATAATCTGAAAGAACTACTCTGTATTGTTTTTCGTCATCTACAGCTTCATACTGAGGAGCTTCACATTTTTGACACAAAACTTCTAAATTGACAATTCTTTCAAAAGGCTTTCTACTCAAATCAAAGACAACCTTGACTCCAGACACCTGCAGTACACGCATAGTTGATTTGGACACAGAAAATTCAAGAGCTTTTCTTATTGCTGATCCCGGCAGTTCTATTGAAACTAATTTATTTCCAAATGGTGTTGTTGCAAATAGGTCACCTAGCATGACTTCTCCTGGAGATAATGCAGCTCTCACCGAACCCGATAATGCTAGTGCTATTGGAGATCCTGTCCATTCTCCTTCGCTTTTATTGTTGTGGAACTGAAAATTTTAAATTTTAGTCAATTTTAAAATCTTGTTGCAAGCACTTACCGCCCATCTCATTGAATCTGTAATTAAATTTCCCATTCCGCATTCACGTTCAAAACAGAATGAGTCATGCTCATGCTTAACACATCCAACTGGTTTTTTAAAAATAGCATCAAGTGTTGCTTTCCATGGTTTCAGCTCTTCTAGAATCATTGGATCTTGTGGCACTTCATGTGATAAAAATATTGGAGCACCTTCATATCTCTTAACTTCTCCATCTTCATCGAAAAACAGTTGAATATTTCCTAGATATTTATTAAATGCTGATGCCTGAACAATCAAAACATGACGACCATTTTCTTGGGTTTCTATTGTTGGATATTCACCAACAGGCTTGTCTGGACCAACTGGCTTACCAGAAAATAGAAATGAATGTGTATGTCCGCCAACAATTAAGTCTATTGGACCTCCATGCTTTGCAATTTCTCGATCAAAATCCAATCCAGCATGTGACAGGACAATAATAATTTTTATTCCTTGCTCTACCAGCTTGTCAACTTCTTTCCGGACATATTCAACTTCTGGCAGAACTTTAGCTCTTCCCCAGCCTGATGGAACAGTTGTAGTGACTCCAACAATGCCAATTTTTCGTCCACTTCTCTCAAGAATTATTGAATTATTGAATTTTTCAGCAAATTTAGGCTCCAGAGTTGCATTGATATTACAGCTGACTACTGGAATTTTTATTCGCTCTAGAAATGGCACAAGACCTGAGATGCCATCATCAAATTCATGATTTCCTATCGTCTAATTGATATAAACAGTAATAAATGGATGTACCTATAAAAATACACATTTTCAAAGCTTACCATAGCATCAGCTGGTTCCAAATTCAAAAAATATTGTGTCACATTCCATTTATAAGTATTATACCAGTAAGTTCCTTGAAAATTGTCACCAGCATTTAAAAAAATTGGATTAGGGCTTTTTGCTCTTAGTTCCTTAACTTTAGTCACAACTCTAGCGAAGCCTCCGATACATTTTTCATTTTCCTTGCAGATATTCGCCAACAGATTTGTCTCCTCAAAGCGTGCATGCATATCATTCATGTGTATTATTGTTAAAGGAAATAAATCCTCAGCTACACAAAAGCACTTAATTGAAATAAAAATGCAAGTTAAAGTCAACGACTTCATCACTTTCACAGCTTAATTATTACTAAATTTTAAAACTTTTGCAAGCGGACAAAAAACTTGCTTTAATTTTTACTTAACCTCAATTTTAATCTAATGTAAAAGTAATAAAAATGGATAATATCAACTATAAAAAATGAAGCAGAGCCGTTTATTATTTACGGAACTCTTTTAAATGGAGAGGGGGGGGGGGTCTGAGATTTTGTGCCAGTTTAAATAAAGGAATTTTCATTAAATGCTAAATTTGAGATGAAGGGGCAAGGTAGGGGCGTAGCCAAGTTTGGATGGGGGGACCAAAATTTTGGGGGGAGGGGGGGGTATTTTTGTGAATTTTGGAATTTTTCTTAAAAAACCCTAGCATAATGAAGAAATTTTTAATGATGAAGGGGGATTTGTCTTCTAAATGCCCCCCTGGATACGCGACTGGGTTACATGGGGGGGAGGTTAAAAATCCAGTTTTTTGCATTACGTAATAAGTGAACGACCGCACAACTTAAAAGTGTATTTATTTTTTTTGTCAATTTTTTTATTTCTGCATTGTTGACATTACCATATTACCATACTGTCATGAATCATGATACACTTAACCTCATTTTTTTAATCCAATGGAAAAACAATAAAAATTTACAAAAGGTACCTAATTGTTTAAATAATTAATTGTCAAGACCCCGAAATGCAATACAATTTTTTTAAACATCTTGACATTATTATAAAACAATATTTTTTAAATTTCTGCATTCCAAGAATTAATAAAGAAGCAAAAAAAAAAACAGGAATAATAAATTGGAGATTCTTTTGAGTGGCATCATCCACTTCATCATAATTTGAGAATGTATATGTGCATATATGAGTATATATCAGCAACATAAAGCAGCACAAAACAGTAAAAGGATTTACCGTTGAAAAATGATGCAAATATTCATATTTATACATCTAAGGAGATATAAAAGCTTTCCGCATTCTCGAATCTCGTTTCCAAATTTTTTTTAAGTGCAGATAGAATGAATGAATCAGGAAGAGAAAACTTTTAAGAATGAAAATTATTCAAGTAGCATAACAAATTTTTATATTGTCTCTAACTTGAAAGATGCTCAGCTCAGCTGCAACTGATATTTCCACAATTTATATATAATATTTAAGTTCATTTTGCTTTTATTTCTTTCAAAAATGAAATGATTTTTTTGTGTGACATAGAAAATTTTTATTGAAGAGTCGTAAAAAGATTTCTTTTTTCGTTCTTAGTTTTGGAGCTTAGGTTCTAGATTTAGAATCAAATAATTTTTGAGTCAACAGTTTGTCATGTGGAATTTTGTCATAATGCATACCTCATTGTGTATCCAAATTGACATATTTTTAGGGGACTCCGGGCACACTAAACTCCAGGGGTTGACACGATTTCATCTTTTGATATAAAAAATTCATCCTTTTCATCTTTTTTTCTTCTTTTCAAACAAATTTTTTATCAAGATGAAAAAAAATTCATCAAGATGAAATCGTGTCAACCCCTGGACTAAACTTGAATCAATAATAGTAATGTGAAAACCTGTGAAAGCATTCCAGCCAAGCGGTTTGTTCCTACCGTCTGAATCGAGCTAGAGACACTGCGATCCTCAACATCATGACACTTAAATCAAAAATTCATATTCTTTTATGAGGTTTAAATAAAAAAACTTACCAATGACTAAAATAGGTACCACAGGTCAGCCTTAAAAACCTTTATCACTCGAACTTTATCAATCGAAGCGATTCTCATTACAAAGACCCAGGGGCGTAGCCAGGGGGGGCCATAGGGGGCCCAGGCCCCCCTACGAAAATCTGATAATTGTTTTATTAAATATTTATAGAGAAGAACCAGTTAATGTAGAGGAAGTGATGAAAGAAATGTCAAAATCAGCACGAATAATTAAATTTAATGTATGAATAATGAATTAAATATTTAAACTTATGAAGAATGAATATAGATTTAAGGATACAAAATTACAGTTTTTTTAATTTTCGAGAATGGGCCCCCCTTAAAAATTTTCTGGCTACGCCCCTGCAAAGACCACCAAAAGCTGACAATTTCGACCTTCCAAAAAATGCCCCTCATCTTCCACCTCCAAAATAAATCTCAATCCTCAACAAAATCTCCCAACTTGCCTCTCACAATGCAATATTCTTTTAAAAAGCGGAAATCTTTGTCATTGAATATCGACATGATAAGAATAGGAAAATTATTATCATCGAAAGAGAGCAAGCAGGAACTCAAATTGCTTCAGATCGACTTTTTTTCTCCTCTTCTTCATAGATATTCTTTCATAATAATAAAAAGTGAAATAAATCGATTGACAGTAGGAAGTCATAAAACTCGACAAGAATAAAAGAATCATTCTTTTATGACTGCAGAGAAATTTATAGAAATATTTTTAAATGGTTCTTCTGTTATGAATGAAGTGGATGTTAAGGTATTGTCGGTGATTTTTGAGCGGAAGTAGTTTTTGAATGGCTTTTGTGATTTTTTAAATTTCTTGTTGAATGAAAAGGATTGAAAGAGATAAAAAAGGAAGGGAGGTTTATGCTCATAATGTCTCTTTAGAGAGGTTAATCTTTCGTGAAAAATTGTTCGTGCTGATTTATTTCAAGAGTTGAGACGCTTTTGTGTTAAAATCGTTTAACTTGATAACAGCGTTGTCAATTTGACCTCAATCTAGGCTTGATAATTCAGGAGGCTTTGTTTCAATCTTTCAGAACAGGAATGTAGTCCTTAAAGCATGAGTGAAGCTTGTAAGGAGGTCTGGACCCTCACTCAACCACTTGCTGATTGGCAAACAGTTTTCTTAAATGTTTTAAAAATAAGTGACCAACTGAATCTCCAAGAAAATACCCAAAAATTGCTTACACATAATATCTTCCCACCACTTCACAATCAGCCTTTTCAAGCCCAAAGGCATTACAACCCTCTCACGAAAAATAATCTCATTTACCATCCTATTTCTTGTTGCTATCTTGATTTCCATCAATTCTCATTAAAAATAATTTTCCCGCCAAATTTTCTTCATCTTAAAATATTCATAAATCTATTTTTGTCAATTTGTTAATACCCATAAGCATCATTTACGTCTACTTTGTACTTTGTATCTCATACCATTTCATCGTCTAAGAATAAAAGGACATTAAAATGTCATCACAACAATTTTCATTCCACTCATTTTTTTCCCTCATTCAGTAAAGTTGACATTTTATTCTTATGAATGTGAGAGGTTGTGCTTCGTGGGTATGTAACAGGTAGAACAGGTGATACCATGGAGATGCGATGCAAGAAAAAAATGTAAAGGACTTAAAATCGCATAAAAATAAAATCCTCTTTCCTTTACAAAAGTTACACGATCATGCCAAACGAGGCAATTTCTCTTCACATCGTGTGCTTTATTTTTTTTTTGGATATTTGACTCTGCTGGAGATAGAATGTTTGAATTTGTAATGATTATTTGGGAGTAATTTGAGGAGAAATAGATGTAATAATAAATTTTGGATGATCATGTGAATTTTTTGGTAACTTGATATGATCCAGACCCCTCTCCCCCACCCCTCCATACATACATACATACATACATAGCTGGCTTTATAGGTCAATCGTGATCCATATCCTCCCTTAGTTGGCGTCTGAAAAAGACTCTATCGCTGGCAATTCTCTGCCAATCGTCAATACTAAATGCTGTGCTATCTCTGTCAACAGCTTCCTTCCAGGAATTCTTTGGTCGTCCACGAAGTACCTTTCCATCTACAAAACGAGACTTAAATATTTTATTAATTGGAACTTCTTCAGGTCTCCTGATAATATGACAAGCCCAATGTAGCCCCCCCCCCCCCAGCACCCCCTCGACTCTAAGTCATGATTTAATATGATTTTTTTTTTTAAAAAAAATAGTTTGGTTTAAGTTTAAGGATGTAGAATCAAGTTAAAAATCCTGAATTGAAAGGATGAGAATAGATTTTGATCCTACAGAGGCTATGTGACTATTTTTATCATTATCTAAAGTCCAAATAACGACCAACAACTATTAGGAACTGTCGAGAACTGGGATAGTGAGATAGAGGCAATTTTAAGAACCATCTTGACCTGAAGCAACTTTCGTTCGTACATTATCTCTCTTAAATCGTCCATTTTGAGTTCAAAATTCGATTCATACTAAAATTTACATCACAACTCTTTAAATGACTTAATTATCTAGTTGCTATAAATAATTCCTAATTAATTTCCGTGAATTCAAATGTCAAATCAATTTGTTACCTGCAAAATATTCCCTTTGAGTCTTACAAAGTCAAAATTGTTAAAAAATATCCATTGAGTATTTATTTCAATTTCTATCCGAAATTGAATTCCAAGTAGGTGTCACAAAGGAAACCCTTTTAAGTATTCTCAAGCGAAATTTCCCAGAACTTCCAACTCAATTTCCCCAACATTTTAAATTGGAAAGGTTCGAACGCCTCCCACACAGCTACACGAAAACAATTTTCAAACCGTGTCGTAACTTGAACAAATTAATCGTCTCTTCAAAAGATTAACCTAATTGCTGTCTGAGTGACCTGAAACCTTTTTTTCATTCAGAAATAAATATTGGAATAGAGTTGGAAGTGAATTATATTCATGCAAGCAAAATTGTTCATCAAATGAAATCCCACAAAGAGCATTGCATTGGGTAAAAAGTGCTTTCATGTTCAGTTTCAAAGTATTTTTTTTTTTTTTGTGGAAAATGAAAAATATATGAAGTGGCATGGGGATTAAGGCACAAACATAGACGGAAAAAGTGAAAGCACTTTTAATTAAAAATAAGCACAGAAACACAGCAAATGCTGCATGTTATAATTTTTCTAAATTTCTGTCAGCCGCTTGCTTTCATGTTGAAAGGCTTTTTTTTCTGCATGCATTCACATTGTTTGGTCCCGTGAGGTTCCAGAGAAGCTTTAACATTTTTTAAAGCTTAGGTATTTTGTGAGTTGGTGAAGATTAAAGCTTTCAATTCTAATTAATGGTTAAAAATGGATGTGA